TATATACACACACACACATATATATATATAGACACATATATATATATATATATATATATATATATATTATATATTGTTACCTTCTACAACTGGATTAGAAGCCAAACGCTGCCGCGAGATCAATTCTGCCTGAAGTTTATGGTCAATGAACTAAAAATGCATGCGTTAACTGACTACATGAAATAGCGCGTTGGCGCACTTCGTTTTACAATGGCCCGGCAAACTCTTCTTAAACCGACAAAACTCAGGAACTTCGTCAGAATGTTTGTCTCGGTTATACGGAGATCGGAAAGGACCCGCGAATGAGGATTGCGGATCAAAATGGGTATTAGCATGACCAAGTCATGTTTGTCTGGAAGTATTCCACTTTCAGTCAAAATCAATCAAAGACACGAATTATGTGACGTGGTTTTGGCAGCTGCGCTTACAAACCTCAGCAATAAAAATATCGACGTTGCAGTTTTGATTGGCAGCGCGGCGTCTGCCCCAAGGCTCGCGCCAGGCCATGGTCAACGGGTAAACGAGCATGGTGACGCATTTGAAAGAAGTACCTTTAAACACCTTAGAACATAAAAGCATACGTTGCGAAACATTTCGGGCGTACATTTTACCTGTGCGGTTTTCAGACAGATGCTGATAATGGTTTGGAATATCCAGAGCCGCGAAGTGGTGCTGGAATCTAATGGTGAAACTGACGCAGTCAAGGTAGAATCTTCATTTTTCCGTGCTGCTGTAACTGCCATCGCTCAAGAGAACATCCCCAAAATTGAAAGAAGATTTGCTCGGCCTAATATTTGAGCTGTACGAATTAATTTTGAGAGATATTCATTAAGATTATTTTACTATGGTAGTTATTGCGTGCACGACGCCTGCAGCTTGCCGTCACCTGCAATGGGCAACCCCGTTCTATTTTGGGGAAATTGCGCCCCATCCATCGCTGTCCTTGCTACCCTAAATTACCGGAGTGTCATTTGGGGATTCACGACTCAGCTGCTTAGGCTACGTGGCGCTGCCTGCCTCTCATCCTGGCAGGAAGGGCGGGCACCACGGCGAATCGAACCCCGTACATCTAATTTCCCAGACGCGCAGATCAGTTATTAGGGGCGTCTGCCCCCCCCCCCCCCCTAATCGGCGCACAGAGGTCCTCTGGGTGGCACTGGAGTGTCCGGCCTTGCGGGCCGGACCTCTGAATGTTATCTGCGGCGTGCCTTTCGAACCCTTGATCGTTGTTTCCGAAGACCCAAAGCTGCCCCTCGGAGTCTAAGGGGGAGGCACGTACCCCCTGTGCCACTCACTGCCTGCGCTACTGGCTTGCTTGGATCCTTGCCAGCCGAAATCTCAGTCCTGCATGCACCCGTTGCTAGTCGCATACCCTCAACTGGGGCTGCGTCGCCTGAATTGAGACGGCCGACAGCTGTTGTTGCAATGACGGCGCGTGCCGAGGGTGGCGACACAGGGTAAACAGCGACGCCTGGCGGTGGTGAAGAGAACCAAAGGTTGTTCTGTTCGGCGCATGGACACGTAAAAGGTGTCTTGGGTGTTGCCGCCGACATGCCGCTGACGACCAACATGCTTTTTACAAGTGCCTGAGAGAGCAAGGATCTTGGGACGGTCGCAGCCAATGCTCTACCGGATCCGCCGGGCCAGATCGAGACCGAAGTGCTTTGGCGGAAAGGAATCGGAAAGAAATTGCTGTGCAATTTTCCTCTGGGTGCCGACTAACGAACTTGGACACCCACAACCAATGCACAACGCGTGCCTTGAAATCAGACAGCGTCTACTGTCACTCATCTACAACCAAAGCACAACAACCATGGAATGCATTGACTTCACTGACATAATCACCACAGTTACATATGCACTTGTAAGAATAATCACACGTCGTTTAACTCTCCGTACATGCGCAGTTCCCATGCCGAATTTACGTTGGTTGATCACTTAAGTGTATACAAGAGGGGGGCCTCAGCGATCACCTTAAAAATGCAAAACCTTGAGCTCAAAATGGAATATGAAACAACTTACTGATGGGGAGTTATACCCAATAGCTGGTAGTTCTGGTAGCTCCACGAGCAGCCTCAATAAATCTGTGACCCACAATTTGGCGGAGGAGCCTACAGTGAGTATTGGTCAGCAATGATGAAAGGTGAGAGCACGGCCAGGCTTCGAAAGCGGGGGAGGGAAGGGAGGCGGAGCTCAGTGAGAACGCATAGCTTTTAGTGAATTCATTGCCTTGCGGTTATTCGCCAGATGTCTGCTCTGAGCAAGCGGGTTCTCCCCTCTTACATTAGGCACAGTTCTTGCGTTCGTACGTTCTTCGCATACGTTCTTCGGCACTGTCGTTGGCAAAATCACATAAGATTGTAAGTAATCACATAAGATAAATCCCTATCGATTGTAATCACATAAGATAAGCCACTATCAATCTGAAGATTGCGGGGGACATCCGCAGCCTTAGCATCTTCCCATTTTATTAAGTGTCGTTGCATTCATGCAAAATTTGACAAACTGGGGTTGGGTAGTAAACCTTGTAGCTTTGATCTAGAGGTAGCCTTTGCCCCTCCCCCTGTTGCTATTTTAGGTCATAATGTGAACATAATGGCATGTTGCTATTTTAGGTCATAATGTGAACAACACGAAACCGACAACACGAAATGAAGCATAATTGAACAAGGCACTTCAGCACATGAGAGCTAAGCTGAATGAATGTGGCCATTCAGTCGCGGTCATGGAAAGTTTTGAAATAATTACTGATGCCAAGGAGCGAAGAGGTGGAGGTGGGCGAGGCAAGTACGGAGGGTTAGCCATTCATTAATTTGCTAACTTACAGAAAGCGAGCTAAAGAGGGCTCAAGCCCACAAGGCCCATAACTATATCATGCCAATCACAACTTGGGATGCGAATAGCAAATGCCGTCAAGTTAAACACAAATTTAGTCCTAAAAAACCTTTAGCCTAAGGACACCTAAAAAGGATAGTTTGACACGCGCCCGGGTGGCCGGTTGGATACCCTTCGCTCGAGTGGGCGGTCCATTTGACCCCCCTGAGATCTCGGGAAATGAGAGAGCTAGAAACACTAAATTCACAGAATGTGTTGACCTGTTTGTGAAATCACTCATGTCAGAGTTTGAGGTTCTTAGGTCATGACCTTTGGGTCAAATAAGTTCAAACAAAGTCAAATTCCAGATATGTCCCTGAAGGGCCCCTAGAACCTAGGAAACTGTTCTAAGCAAAATATTGCACGCTCAGTTCAGATCAGTGACCTCGTTTGACCTTTTAAAGGTCATGGTGACCAAAATGAAACAAGACTGCCTTGAGTTTGCATTTGGATAAGCAGTAAAGGTTACGCTAGGCAGTATGTTCTTAAAAGTAAAATGTTGACCTGCGTCATTTTAGGTTAGTGACCTGTTCTGACCTTTAAGAAGTCCATCGAAGTTGTATAATGTGGTTTCTGCTATCAATAAATTCGAAATGAGCACCAGAAACTACCCCACTTAGCAAGGGCTGGTTTTACCCTTGATCTGACCTTCATACCTGACCCTAGGTCAATGGTATTTGTGTATTCAATTGTTTTCTTGCATAAGAAAGCATCTCAGAGATTGATGGTTTCGTCTAACGCTGCGTTGTTTGATCGGATTAAGCGATTCCCTAGAAATTGCCTTCGCTGAAACCGTGGCCTCACCTTGACCTGCCATAGGTCAGCGACCTTACATAGTGCGTATAAATGTTTTGGTCCCAGACGATCCGCTATTCAACTGTCTGCATCTACGAAAACTTGATTTCAAAAACCCCGTAACAATGTGGAGCATTCCATTTAAGCAATTAAAATGCATCCACCCAGAGACTGGGTTTCGAATCAATTGCAACCCTAATTAGGACGCATTTTGACAACAGTTCGTCGGTACTGTTTAGAGAAAACTCGACGATGATGTGGAAAATTTTATCGGCCCGTTTTTTTACACTGGCTGCATCTTTACTGTTGCCCTTCTCGCCGCTAACGCCTTTTTTTATAAAACTTGATGGAAGAAAATCGCTCCCGAAAGGAGAGGATTTTCGTGGAGAATATATTTTCTCGCTCCCTGGGGACTTCTCCTGGAACTAGAGAACCGGGACGCTGGTTTTCATGAAATTCGTGAGACCTCTTAATTTTCTGTTCTGCTGGTGCGTTTTGTTAGTCTGAAATCAAATCAAGTATAAAGTATACATCACTCATTGGCAATAGCGACTTCCCCTCCCTCCCCACCGTTGTTGCATGTGCTCCCGTGTTCAACCAACACAACTTCGACATGGATAGCAACTTCGGCATAGATTCGACGATGTAATTCAAGTACAATATTCCTATTTCCTAGGCGCTACACGTATCATACCGGACACCCTGAACCAACTCCTGTCGACCGTGGTGAACGGCAACCACAGTTACTCTTACGAACTCGCAATGCATACAGAACGTCTGCACCATTGTCGAAGTGGATTATGATGATTTGTCACTAAGTGGTTGGTGGTTTTAATCAGGGAGGGAGGGGGGATATCAGGTGTTCCACGCTACTGACGATTCATTAGCCACTGATAGCTGGTCAACGGGCCTGTAACGGGATAAGCCTCGTGTAAGAGGATCTAAATATACCTGGTAACTATATTGTCACATTGCTATTTTGGACGAACAAACCTCGGATGACACGAAACGTCGTTGGATTCCTTGAAAGAAAGCATTCCCACCACTTCCGTTCAAAGCGGCTGTGTCATCTACATGTACAAGATACATTACGGCTGGAAATTATCAATCTAATATTCCATCAGCAGATGTGCTCCAAGGAAAATGGTAAAAGTTGGTTGCACGGCATCAGTTGAGGCCAAAGAGTCGAACAAAACTTCGGTATTTGATATTTTTCTGAAACTAGGAAGGAGGATCCATGCCAAACTTTTTACACGTTTTTTAGCTAAGAAAATGCAGTGCAGTGAAGGGCATCGCTCCTTTGATCGAGCCCAAGGGCACCAAAGCAATAATCGGGCGAATTGGGACTTCACTGAACTTAGTGAACTTCAGCCAGTGCGACATATCCCCATGACTTTCGCAGATTTGGTTTCCTCAACAAACCTGTAGTTTAGAATGTCAATGATAAATGGTCTGTCCATCACTGGGAAAAATAGTGTGGTTCTACAAGCATTTTGACTGTCTGTCTAATGATACTGAAATACTGCGTCTCTGAACTGTACGCCTCGTGGGCAAACGAAGACTTTTATGAAAAAGGTTGTGTCGCCTCATCACACAAGCGTTTAATGTAACATCTTGGTGGCAAGTTTATCAACAATGACTGACAAGACAAATTCTTCACAGGAGGACGATGAGCTTGGTAAGAACAATTTCTCCGAGAATGCACCACCAGTCACTCTTCCTCCTATACAAGAACAGGGCATATACGAACCTGCGTCGCTCCTGAAGATGGAAGAAAAGAAGAAACGAACAATCGAAACGGAGTTTGGCACCATCATCATCGATTCTAAAGGCATTACAGTACGATCGGAAAGAAATCTCTCTGGTTCCGCGGAAAACCAAGCTACACACCCCTCGACAGAGAGCGCTGCAGTTATCAGTTCATTAGCCGGGTACGACTCGAAACGCTCGAGTCAACACCACGTCGGATCGCGGATGATCTTGCTCAACACGTCGAATACGTCGTCGCGGGCGATAGACGCGGCGCTGGAGCGACAGGAGCGAACGGAGCGCGGCGTGTGGGGTTCGGACTTGGAGCTGATTCTGGTCATGTGCAGCTCTCTCTGCGGCATGGGGAAGTTCGTCTTCTTTCCGCGGTTCTGGCTCAAGTATGGTGGCTTTGCCTTCCACGTGGCCTACATGGTTTGGCTGCTGCTGCTGGCGCTGCCACTCTTCCTGCTGGAGTCAGCGCTGGGCCAGTTCACGGCGCACGGCATGACCGCCCTCATGCCGCAGATGGCGCCCGCCCTCAAGGGCTACTCCTACGCCATGCTGCTCTCACTCGTCCTCTCCATGGTGGCTTACATGCCCGACGTCAGCACGGCGGTCATCTACGGCATCGAGGCAACCCGAAACCGGCAGCTGTGGATGAACTGCACCGCCTTTTACAACAGCGACCTCTGCTACACGCGCAAGCTGGACCAGCTCTGCCGACGGAAGGGCGCGCTGCTTTACGCCTCCAAGCGGTGCCTCCGTTTGGAAGAGATCTGCGGGCATCACGTCAACTCGAGCCGACTGAGTCCGCTGGCGACGGCTTGCGTCCGCCAGCACAACGGCACGGCCCTCCTGAACATGACCGAGGTCGGCCGCCTCCGAGAGACGGCCGGCAACGAGTTCTTCAACAACGTGCCGCACCGCGTGGCGCCGGTCGCCAGCCTGCGACACTTGAACGGGCCTAGCCTGGCTGCACTGCTCGGCTGCTGGACGTTCGTGGCTCTCGTCTCGCAGGCCGGTCTGGGCAGCTTCAAATACTCGCTGCCTTTTTTGTTAGCTCTGCCACTCCTCATCGTCTTCATCATTCTGGTCAACATAATGGTCTTCGGCGACGTCTTTCACAAGATCTGGCGCCACCTCATTCCCGATATCGGCAAGCTGGGAGACCCGGTCTGCTGGTTCCGCGCTGGCCGGTTCGCGATATTCTCCATGGACGTGGGCATGGGGATAAACACGGTCATGTACAGCAGGAACCTGCTCACGCACGACTGCAAGCGGTCGGCCATCACAATCACCGGCCTGCAGCTGGCGATGGAGACGCTGTTCGGGCTCCTCTACACCTTCCTTCTGGGGAAGCAGGCTGCAGACTTGGACGTGGAGACCAGCGTTCTGACCGATGACTCCAAGGACGGGCACCCGCTCATTGTACTGTCCACGTCACTGGGAATGCTCAGCGATAGCCAGACGTGGTCGGCACTCCTGTTCCTGGCGTTGGTGCTGCTGGGCATGGGAACATGTCAGGCGGCTCTGCTCACCATTGAGACCAGCCTGCGCGAGCTCTCCCTGCTCGGCACCCTGTCGACGAGGTCCGCTGTCTTCACGCTGTGCATCATCTTCTTTGTGCTGGACACGCTCTTCACGTTCCCTAGCGGATATTACGCCATGCTGGCTCTCCAGCAGTACGCCATCAGCTACTTCCACGTCGTTCTGACGTTCGCGCTGGTGGTGTGTGTCAACGCCATCCTCGGCGTGGACCGCGTGCTAGACGACATCGTTAATATCATGTCGGTGCACATGCGGTGGTCGCGCTCCTTCTGGGCCTTGTCGTGGCGCTACGTGTGTCCCCTGCTGCTGCTCAGCCTCTTCGTCGCCAGCATCGTGTACCAGGCGGCCGAGCCGCTGCGCTACATGAACGCGCCACTGCCCGCCTGGACATCTGTCTTCGGTGGGGTCATGGTCACGTGCCCGCTGGTGCTGCTCATCGGCGTCGTCTTCCGCGTCCACATGGACAGCGAGACGTACGGCCAGGACCTGTTCGTGCCGACCCGACGCTGGCGGGCGGGCCTGCGAGCACTCTCTGACACGGCCGTCACCCCGAAGGCCACGGACAGCTCGCTGCGCTCGGCAGGTCAGTCGTCCTCCCACTTTCTCGTGCCGGCGGCACCCTCGCTGATGACGCAGATGTACAGCGGCATTTCCAGCCGACACTTGGTGGGCACCGTCAGCAGCCGCGAGCAGAAGTCCAGTGAGGATCTGGGGCCAGAAGGCAAGGAGGCGGACGTATAGCGGAGGAGTGATGACAGCCCTGTGCTAGTGGCGGGTGATGCGTAGGTGACGACATGATGTGGAATGCACTCGCATAACGGCGTAAGAAATCGCTGGTCGAGGGCATCGTTATGCAATAAAGTGTGTGACACTTGTCCGAATCACAAACCATCACAATATCAAGGTGACCCGTCCATCGAATGCGATGTGAGATGGGTTAAAGAGACACGGGCTATCTAAACCTATCCCGGGTGGACATTCCGCCCCCGTCCTTCGCTGCCAGGCAGGGGGAGAACCTGACCGACTGTTTACACGAGAATTGCTGAGCCGATTTGAAGACAACAACAACTTCATGTGATCTCTTTCCACGGCTCTACATCTCTTAAAGAACAAATTTTAAGATTTTCTGACTAGGGACAACGGGAAGGAAAGGCTCTTAAAGTCCAAGATATTTTCGATCGAACAGTGCTAGGTTTACGAATCATTTTTATTGTTAAGAGCGCAGATGCCTAGAAAATGATTTGGGCATCAAAATGGCACGGTAACGTTTCAAAATTGAAATATATTGACGCATCCAGTGGATCCAAAACGAGGAAGTAACCAGACTCCTTAAAACGAACGAATATGTTATTTAATTTAATGAAGGAGCGAATCTGTCATTCAATTTAATGAACGAGTGAATATGTTACTCAATTTAATGAACGAGCGAATGCAACTCAGTTTTATTGAGTTGTTTAACACGACGCAAAAAGGAACACTGTGGCATAGTCAGAACCATAGTAGCTATTGCGGTAGTGAAAAGAGCAAGTTAAGTGAGTAGACAATATTATCGTTTTCCGCAATGTCGTCGAGCACTGTGCGTGAAGTGCGGTGTCCACATGGCATGCACGAACATGCGTCATAAGAGCATCCAGCTTTCTCAAGTATGGGAGTATGGACAGGTAAATGAGGTGTGGCCAATGCCGGACGATCAGGTGACGACCCGCTGTTAATGGCCCTAGTCTTCAACTATCTTTTGTTGTTCCGGGAATCGCCTCTGGCAGTTTTTAAGATGCTTACTGTACAGAAGTAAAGCCCGAAATGCAACATTCCACTGAAGGCCTTTGTGTTCCAAATTATATGAGCCTTTCACCCCCATCCCTGCAGCCGCTTCGGCGAAAAATACTTGTTCTCCTTTTTCCGAGTTCACATGTCGAATCCTCCGCTATCCACTCAAAGCTCTAGTAGTACTGGCATAGCCAAGAGCTCATGTTTCTTTGCACTTCCTTTTGCAAAACTTGAATATCCCCTTGTAAGCTGCATGCCGTTTTCAGTGCAGGCATTGGCTGGACTCTGACAACCTTACATGTAGACATCGCAAAGTATCCCTTATATACGTGCGTTGGCGACCCGCACAACCGCCCCTGCTATGCTACTAACGCATGACACTGCGTATAACTCCGGAAAGATCACCGTCTTTGCATGCGTGTGAAATTCCACCGAGGTCCTCCTTCCGCTTCCGCTTCCGCCCGGTTCCGAAACCACTTATGAGCATGCCGCGTGCCCAAAACTTGGACATGATTCATCGAAAAACATTTTGGGCACGTAAGATAATTCCGAAATTTTCTCTAAAGGACAAACCATGATTTTCGAGAAATCAGCGACAAAAAAACGGGAGGGGCAGAATCGGCCTCTTAAGCAGGAAAAGCGTTGCATATCAATCGGAGGTGAGCCTTTACACAAACAATGAGACAGCCAAGAGACAAGAAACAATGTTCCTTCTTCATTTCGTCGTTGTATCCCTGATGTATAATATCAACATCGCGGCGCCAGCAGCGAGTACCAAATCAGTTCTGGTGACAGTAGTTCGGTGCCTGGGACGGTCATGCCGGCACTCGCTAGCGTTTGGAAGTGTCGGATTTATGAGCCTTATGTTCGATAAAACCGGCCTTCCACTATCTATAAGAAGTGTATGAAGGCATCAACAAGTGAAAAAAAAATGAGAGCCAAGTGTCGGGCTGATGACTGAAAATGGCATTGATATCATCCTCTCCGGTTTGTTGGCCTGGGTCCGCTGTCGTGCACAATATCACAGAATGAGCGCCACGAATTAACTCGTTAAGTATTTGATGTTGGTTAGATAATGCAAAGGTAGCCAGTGCGGTTAACCAGTAGTGAATCTGTTGCCTCAAAAATTACCCCAATTTTTCTGCCCTGGAATCAACTAAGATAAAATTGAAAGCTGCAGAATTTCTTACCTGACCACTCACTTCTTGATTTTTAGTTTGGGCACTTAATAAAGATATCAGCGGGGACAATCTATGAATGAATTCGAGTCCTGGTGAGATGAATTCGCCGGCTATATCCTGCTGACCGGATTGGATAAGTTCCTACCTGTAGAGCAGAAGATCCTAGCCATGCTGGACGACTGAAACAGGGTAGTTCGGTGCTGTTGGGATGCAGTTTGCATTGTTCGACGTCGACAAACACGAGCGGCCACGAACCACGCCGAGCGTGAGCCCGTAGAGCATTGCACCGAGAACGACGGTAGGTGTATCAGGGGCGATATTGGCGCTACAGCTGGTAACATACCCCCCCCCCCCCCCTGGGACGCTGCAAGCGTCTCTCATCGCCATACTCGTGAGGTCACTAACGACCATGTATATAAGTTGTCATCCCCCAGCGCACTTGGAGCCGGTCCGGCTCCGTACTGCGCCACTGCTGCGCGTGGCCGACCGCGCGGCCCTGCGGCTCCGCGACTCCGCGGCTCAGCGCGGCTCAGCAGCGCTACTGCGAGGCTGGCAGCGGCGGTACGGTGGGGCCGCCGCGACGACGCGTTAGCAGCTCCGACACGGTGAGGCTGTGCCGTCGTCGCGCTAGCAGCACTGCTGTGCCGCAGCCGCCTGTGTTGCACTGCGATTGCATCGAGCTTCCTGTTGGCGTTGGGACGAAGCGGCAGCACATGAGACGACGCGGCCGCAGAAACTTCCGGCTCCGTCAGTACTGTTCCCCGCTGGGCATCTTCGCTGTGTAGAAAGGGCGTGCGCCGATCGCCGCAACGATACGGGGACGACCCCGCCGTCCGGTGACGCCGTCCTGGACGTCCACTCTCGTGCTGAGAGCGAGTCGCGGTATAGAACACGTCGACCGGTCGTGACGCTGCTGAGAACTCTCCTCCAGCGACTCAACCCACTCGTTGCACCTGTTGCCATTGCGATCAGCTCTCCTCTCTTCCGCGGACGCACAGCCAGGACCCTGGCAACGGGTGGGGAGCACAGGGCTGACAAAGGTCCCCTGATCTTGAATAGACGCCCTGAAATCGCCGGATGTAGCCCATTTGTTAATGGTGGCGTGCTTTTTATTGACCATTTTTCCATTATTACTTCTATGACTGGAATTGAAGCTAGGTTTGAAGCTACCGGGAGAGATATTCCAACTGAATTTTGTGGAAATTAAATTGAAAAAATATCACGCGTTAAACGATTGCATGAAATAAATCGCCGGCGCTCTCCATTTTACAATAGTCCATTACACTCCTTCTAAACCGATAGAACTTAGAAGCTTCGTCAGAATTTTTATCCGGATTTTACAGAAATTTGGGACCCAACGAATGTATATTGCACATTTTGTTCGTACATTTGTGTGTCGAATTGGGTCAACAATTTGTATTACCTTAGGCCAAGCCATGTTTGCCAGGTAATGTTCAACATTCAGTCAGAGCTGATTGGTGAAACAAATTATGTCCGTAATTTTGAACATGCGCGTTCGCATATATTAGTAACAAAAAACTCGACGCTGGGCGTTGCAGTCTCCATAGGCCGCGCAGCTTTGGCTCCGCGGCTAACATTAACCCTTGACTGACGGGTGGACGAAAGTGACGAATCTAAAAGAAGCATCTTTGAACTCTGCAATTTTTTGATTGATGTTAAGACCGGTTTGGCACTTATAGCACCGCGAAGTGGTGCTCGCTGAAATCTGGTGGTGAAACTGGCATGGTAAAGGTAGAACCTCCATTTTTCATGTCGCAACTACTTATCTGTGCGGAGGAAAACCGCAAAACTGTAAACAAGATACACTCATCCACATCCTGAAACGGTAAGAATTAAATTTGAAAGACATTCGGGAACATTATTTTCACGACAGTCGTTTGACGTAACAAACCTTTTGACGTAAGTTGTTCCAGTAATCGATTCTGCAAAAGAACAAACGTTCTCAGGCAAACATGGGATGGTCTTGTTCGTTTTTTTAGCCCACTTTGACATATTCTATTCAACACTAATGAGACCCCTTATTTCTTTCCGGGCAAGGGGGCCTCTTGATCAGAACGTTGGGACACGCTTAGTATTGCTCCGGTCAGGAGCGGAAGAGCCGTCGCGTTTCATCGCGAGGTGTCTTCCGGCTGCCACTCTGACGACACGGGCGGGATCCCCTGGTCGATCCGGAGGCCCCCAGAGGGATACATCATACCACATTGGTTACTTCCTGACGAGGGAGGCCTTGACGCAACAACATCCCTTATCATTGACGCCACATTGACGCAACAACATCCCTGATCGTCGCGGGTAATTCAATAATTGGCGCATAAACTTCAGTACAGTACGGCTTAACGGGTCCATGCTAGAATTGGGCTGGAAGGCCCACTACTCGGTACTGGGTCTCTGACTGACACAAGCCCTTTCCATGGTTTTAATGTCAACGTTAATCGTAATTTAAAGTGTTCCCTTTCATTGTCAGAGGGCCCCGACCAACACAAGAGGTCCTCTGTCATTCGAGGCCCGTCCCCGTACGCGTTGAGCAAGCGTTTCCTTGATCGACTTGAAACCCCTTGCTCTGTTAGGCACTGGGTCCCTAACAGATACAGAAGCCCTGCATTGTTGCAGGGGCCCCAATTAATGCAAATCGCGGGCGCGGCCTTGTCGCTGCTTGGAAAATAGGCGGCTAGCGCTCAGGCCGACACGGAGCGGACCGTTCCTTGTTGGTGATCTCTGACCTAAATAGAGGAACGCTCTGTGTCAGGTGTCCCCAGTTGGTGCAAGAAACCCTCCAACATTTGACACGGGAGACACAAAGGCACCAACCATTGTTTCAAGGACTCAGACCAATGACAGTCGTGGCCTTGATCTTGCTCAGGAAATGGGCCCCCGGGGTTCAGACTGACAGCGAGTCAACTGTTCGGTGTTAGTGGTCTCTGGCCGACCGAAACACTCGCACTGCCTCAAGGGATCTTGAAAAGTGCAAGAGAACCTCTCACTGATTTTTCAGGTCACGACCCTACGGGCCAGGATTTTTTAGTGACCTTCAGTCAGTCCCCCGGGCCGTTATGCTCTCCAACCGAGCCCCTGGTTATCAGTTCCGCTGGGCCGCCCGGTCTCCTCTTCGGACCTCATCGAACGCTGCTCTTGGTCGGCTCGGGGCCCCTTTAGAAGACAGGACCTTCTGCTATGCATTGCAGGCCCCTGACAGAGACAGGGGTGCGACAAGCATAAATCACTGGCCCGACGTTGTAGCTGATAGGGAAGTGGGCCCTCGGGCCCATACCGACACGAAGCTGACTATGCGGTACTGATGGTGTCTGACCGGCACATGGGGCCATGTCGACTCAGGGGGTCCACGATTGGTGCAAAGGACCCTCTGACTGTCAATTGAGAATCCGTACCCGCAGGCTGGGGCCCTTGAATATGACTCGAACAACCCTTCGTGCCCCTAAGCCCTTAAAACGGGCCCTTGATGGTCGGTCTCGGTGGACTTTCCAGGCTTTTCGGGCCTGCTTGAACACTGCCTCTGGCCCACTCGGGCCCCTTGCCAACACAAGGCCCCCTTTAAGGCGCTGAAGACTCCTTGACAGGCGCTGAGGCCCCGACCAATGCAAATCGCTGGCTCCTGCCTTGTCCCTGCTTGGGGAATAGGCCGCCAAGTGCATGCTGACACGGAGCCAACTGTGCGTTGCTGGTGGGATCTGACCGACGCATAGGCCGTTGTCGAGGGGACCCCTGATCAGCGCGCAGCGCCCTCTAAATGACATTGAAGTGCCCTGCCCTGCGGGCTGAGCCCTTGAACACGACCTCCGGGCGGCCTTTCAGGCCTCTCGTGCCCTGAAATCGGGCCATTAATCGTAGGTCCCGAGGGGTCCAAAAGGCCCCTCGGAACCTTAATGGGGGGGGGGGGGGGGCTGTGCCCCTGCCTGTGCTTCTGCGTGATGAGTTCTCACTGGGATGCCCCCCCCCCCCTACCTGTTTCATTACCCTGGATGTGCCCCTGCCAGCGCGTACCTAGCGACTTGAACACCCATACCGCCGCAGGCAGATTGGGATCGCCAAGAGCTGGTACCAATGATGTTATGTGGCACGGGCGTCGAATTAGCATTCTTTTTGGTAGGCCACTGGCTCCTTCAATCCCCAATGTGCCCACCCCTCAGCGATGTCTTTGCCCCCCCCCCCCCCCCTACTCAAACCTTCTGGCGTAAAGCAGTCAGGTAAAGCAGGGTATGAACAACGAAAATTCAACATTATGCGGATGTCATAGAAGGTTTCCTTTTATTGTTTCGCAGGTAAAAAAACAAAGAAAATGAAAATTGCAATATCATCTTCAGTTCATAATTTTCTGCCTTTCTCCGCATGATGCATAATCTTAGTTACACGATTAGCATGATTTTTTATTTGGGTCCACATTTGTGCTGTTGTCTGTTTTGGCATTACTTAGCGATGTCTCATATTCTACAGACTGCAGCAAGTTGCGTGATTTTGTTTTGAAATCAGAAGATGAAAAGAAACGGGTCGAAATTAGGACGCAAAACACTCGAACATGTGATCAGCCATTTACATTACGGGAGAACCGTTGAAATATGCTGACCTCTGCTTTGACGTGAATACTCGATGGAACAGTTAGGAGAACTTGACGATCGACACAAGCCGACTAAACAGATAGCGACAATTTCCCGGCAACATGTCTAGTGCGAGCGTTGAGTTGCTGCCTGCGGACCGCCTAGCGGCTATCAGCCTAGAGTTTTCGTGGCAGCCCTTAATAGTCCCGCGCATCAACTTATAATCTTTCCTCCCAAGGTTGTACATGTTTAAGAACGTCTGAAGCATTCGCACACAAGCACACAACATCGACCTTCTGTCGATTGCCACAACCTAGTTCTGACGATGGACGCCAAACAAATTGGTAATGATGCCCAACGTCAACATCTTCCGTCAAGAACGAAGAGGAAACATATTACGTAAACCTTAAGAGCTGGGACGTAGTTTCTTATTCAGTTGGGGGGGGGGGGGGGGAGCGGTCACTCCAACTGCATAACGTTGAGAGAAAAGTGGGTCAAATCCGAAAGGAAATCTCTTGTTTAGCGTGTCAATGGCTAGGTTATTTCCTCTCGACCCCCAGGCCTATTTTGTGAAATTTTACCCTCGTGGTGCGGCGGCTCGCCACCAGATTACTCCGGCGTCTGGTCTGGGACAGGGCCCCATTTCCCAGGCAGAAATAAGATCGGGCCGCGATTTACTTCAAGTAAATAAGTAAGTCTTGTAAGTCGGCCAGGGCAACATTTGCTGAACAGGGGTAGGGACTGAAAGCCCAACGTCGCATGAACGAAGTGAAAAATAGCTGAAGGAAATAACTAAAATTTCTTCTCAAGATGGAAGTACTAAGACAGATATGACGAAAGTGAGTCAGTCATTGCGCATTTTGCTTCGGCGCGAAGATGGATGCACGAGCCCAAAAAGTTATGCTCCGTAACCGACAATAACAGCAACGTTGCTCTTGTATTCATTGTTTCACCGTTCACTTTCTTCACGGCGCTCTGATCTTTTTCTCCCTGGTCCACCGTAGTCGTTGCCCCAGTTCATTACCTGCCCCAAGATAACGAACTGCCCTGAAAGCATCGTAAGTGGCCCCATGTCAATGTATTTTTTCCTCCAAAGTTTAAAAAACCTGCCCCATAATTTATATTTTGCCCCAGCCCTGCCCCAACGAGATCTCATCAAAATGTGTAACATTCTGGAGACTGGTGCACTGATAGTGTTAGTGTTGTATGCTGCAGAAAAGCTGTCTTAACCCATTGATTGCACACATGATGAAAGGTCAATTCTCACCCACTTCCATATCTACTTTTGACACCTAGACACAGCTAGTGTATTGCTTGGAAAATGGCAATAGCTGCATTTATAGTGATAGCTTAATCAGTTATTATTTCAGAACTTGATGGACAGAGGTTTTATCAATATTTTATGCATGACATTCCATGAGATGCTGTTTTGTCCCAGTAACCTTGGGAGATGGAGAACTCAGGATTTGTGGATCCAGGCCAAAACCTAGGTTTTTGGAGGATCAAACTGATCCAAACATCATTGGCTCAGCTGCCGGGGGTCCCTGAGCATCGGGTCCTGCGGCTCCTGGCCATCTACTGGCAGTGTCCTTGTACATGGTCTAGACTGTGAGCTGTGATGAAAATGTGTGATGACATTGACAACTTCTGGTTGTAATATTTGTATTGCAATTTGGCATATGCATTATTACTCATACATGGGCAGCAATGGTTTGTATTTGTATGAAACTTGTACAGGTGTGACCATCATAAAGCTGAGCTGTGTCACAATACAGATCCATTCAGTGACCAGGTTCTGTTCACCTAGATGTTTTGCCTTTTACTGACATGTATCCCAAATATGTCAGTAACAAAAAACAGCAACAATAGCAAAAAACAAATACAAACAACAACAATTTCTCTTTGGTGGCTGGTCACATTTCCTATCACTGTCAAAATTCATTTTCATAGTTATGTTGTGGCATTGTCTTTCACTCTGTCTATTGGTTATGCATAAGTTTCCTCCATGATTCCTTCCATGATTGGTGTTTGCACTTATGCTAGTCCTCAATATCATTTACAGTTAATAGTATTTGGTTATATGGTTACCATGACAACTCAGCATTGGGGTGAGTTTGAATCAAGCACACAGCATGTGGAAGGACTGCGCCCTGAGGAGTTGAGCAAGCTGACCAAGCTGCAGCAGTCCATTGTTGTCGAGGGACCTAAACTGTTCCAGCCTGCTGAGGTGCCACAGGAGCATGACACGTGAGTATTGCCAGCAAATCTGGTTCTCTGCATGCTTCTGTATGCATCCAGTGGATGGGAATAATGGGAACCATCAGTCTGTAGCTTTTCATGCAGACCTCAAGCCTTTTTCAGCATTGAGGATTCTTTCATATAGTGTCTAAATGAAAAGTAAATCTGCTGAATTTGTGTAGGGTGGGCATCAAATAATGGTGCTCTCACTCATGCCAATATTATGATCAAGCCCATCATCCCTGTGCTTGAACTGGCCAGTGCTGAATGTTGTATCTGATGCCCTGCTCTGTCCACCGGGTGGGGTTTGGTGGGGTCAAGTGCCGACGCAGACTCGGACACCATCCGCTTCCTCAGGAGGTCGCAGCAGGCCTTCCGCATGGACCCGCTGGTGCTGGCCACTATTCAGCTGGAGAGTCAGAATGCTGCCATCAGCCAGGCGGTGGCGCAGGGCACTGCAGTGAGTGCTGGAGGCGGGGAGGATGTTCCCGGGCCTGGACTCACCGGCCCGGACCCCGACAACGTGCCGCTGACCGAGATGCTCGCGAGACTCCAGTGATGGCGGGGTGGAGACTCACCTGCTGTTGCGGTTGAGGGTGCTGTTCTCTTTGTATGTGCTTGATAAATGTGGATGCTTAAAATCATGTATGCAGCTGGGGTCTTGATGTCAGTTTCTCCTATTGGCACGCTTGTACGACACTTCAGCCGTATGTTTCGTCGTGAGGTACATTTGGTCATTAGTTTCATGTCACCCTGTCTGTTCCTGACTCTTCATTTACTGCAGGTTGATGAGTCAGCATTGGTGCCTCTGAGCATATCAGACTGCTTGACCAAGCTGGAAGAAACCTTTACCGTCTTCCCGGAAGTAAAGGACAGGTAAAAGGAATTCTGCTGTACAAAGGAGATGGGTTAAGGGAGGCCTGAATCCTATGAGCAGAGCATCAACATTTCGACGTGTCAGATTACTCACAAGAAATCAATATGTCTGGTCCTTTTAAAGGCAGTGTTCCACATTTGTACGGGGTTTTGCACGGAAATAGCCATCTTGAAGAACATTCAGTGCAGTTGAGAGCCCCGCCGTTCTTAACTTTTCTAGTTCCTGAGCTACACCCCCGCGAAGATGTGCGAACTTTTTCAAAGGGCACCCAGGTACCCATGATTCCAAAATAACGTCATTAAAATCGTGACATTCCATTCGTTATGTGGTAAGTCCCATAAATGTATGATCATCGAGTCATTCATATGCAGTGTTCGTGAGCACGATTTCTAGTTTGCCGTCTATTTGCCGTCTATTAGCCGTCTATTTGCTCTCAATCGATGTGCAAGATACGATAACGTACTCAAGCAACAGTATGTTGAGGAGCGTATGTACTAGATAGAGAAATTCTGTTACAGCAGTCTTTTCCACTCAGAAGTATGCCAATAATCATAAGCAAGCAAGCTTATTTCATCATATCTGATGCTTGTTTCAATACCAGTCAAGTGTGAAACATCCCCTTCACACACCAGAGTTGGGGCTGGACGGGCTCAGTTTGACCCCCAAAGCTTTTTCCAGAATAATTTCCGAACGACGCGGGTTAGCCACGCCAAAATTTGAATGCCTGTGGGCAATTGAATAGTGGATATTTCCGTATGGAAATTAGATGTACCCTGTAAGTTTGCTGATCTATGACATGTCAAACTCAGGCCGTGGCTATCAGCGAAGGCAATTTCTAGGGAATCGTTGAATTTGATGCGACGGTGGAGTGCTAGACGAAGCTATACATCTCTGAGATTGTTTCTCAAGGTATACAAGAAATATAATTAGGATCAAGGCAACTCCAGTGACTAAATATCCGGTGTATTGGCTAGACCCAGGCCTAAACCAACCTACTTTTTGTACTCGAGAGCTTGCGGTAAGCGGTAGTCTCAGGCGCTCATTTCGAATTTATTTCTAACACTGCTCGCAAAAGACATCTTTCGTGGACTTCTTAAAGGTCAGAGTGCGTCACTAACCTAAAATAACCCGGTTCAACATTTTACTGTTTAGCGTAATTGGTGATGCGGATTTAAAGGTAAAAATCAAAACAGTCTCGTGGGACTTGGGTCACCATGACCTCCTATATCTCAAGCTACGTTTTTTTACCTGAAATAACTACCAGTGACATTTTGCTTAGAACCGGTATGTAGGTTCCAAACGGTTGCCTTAGGGGGTGTGAGGGCCCTTTGAGAATCAATCTGCAGTTTGACCTATTTGACCCGAAGATCATGATTAAGGAACCCCAAATTTTGACACAAGCTGAGCTCACATACAGACCAATCCATTCCTTGCATTTGGTATCTCAAACTCCCGTACTTTTTGAGATCTCAGCGGGTTAAATTGAACTCCCACCCTGGGTGAAGGGTATTCAACCGGCCACTCGGACGCGTATTAATGCACGGACTGACCAGCTGTTTGGAAAATATAGTGATGCAACGTTGTTCTATGTTTCGATACACATTGGCTCAACGCTACATCTGCCTGTTGCAATCTGATAGGGACTGCAGCAGTTGAGCTACCTGCTGTGTTGACCGTCGTTGGTGCCGGCAGCCACTTCGCCAGCGGTCGGGGCTCCCCCGTGCCGGAGATAGCGCCGGAGCTGTGCCGGGACCTGCTGGTGCGCTCCGTCGGCACGCTGGCAGCCCATGCTGGCTTCCACAGTGAGTGCGGGATTGGGCGGAGTCGGACGGCCGTGGACATGGTCACGGATGCGGCGAGTGGTTCATGGATGGGACTCGGGGCGCAGGGCGCGTATGCCCTAACCATGTTGCCTTTTTCTGGACCTGTCTGTTGTCAGAGATAGCGGATAAGCTGTTTCGCATGCCTTCGTATGTATGTTCATGTCATTTGCTTTTGTTGTACATATCACTATTTGTGTAAGCTTACATGGTCTTCCGTCTCCCTGCCCATATCATCTGGTACACTGTTCCATTTGTTTCTTGCATCTCCCAACACTGTCTCTGTGGCCCAGCCCCCAGTCTGTGGAGGCACGAATTCACTCACCTCAGGCCGCCTGCCCCGCTGGCCGGCCCCTGGAGTCTGGCAGCGGCTGGCTCACCCCCTGACGGTGTGATCCCCCAGCCTTGCCAGAGCTGGTGCTAGGCAGCGGCCGGCTCGCCCCCTTATGGTGTGTTCCCCCCCCCCCCCCCCCCCCCTCAGCCTCGCCAGACCTGGTGCTGGGCAGCGGCCGGCCTGCCCTCTGACGGCGCACTATCCCCCAGCCTCGTCGGACCTGGTGCTGGGCGTGCTGGCGGACGCGGCCGGCTCGTTCCTGTCCTCGCTGTGCCGGATGCTGCGGCAGACTCGTGACATGGAGGCTGAGCGCGGGTCGCACGGCTTCGTGGTCAGTACCGGGCTGCGGACCGCCGCCCGTCGGCGCCGCTTGACCGCAGTCGGTCTGGTCTGGCACCGGGGAACACAGGGTGTCTGGGGGATCAGACACAGGGTGTCTCGAGTGGCCAGACACAGGGCGTCTCAAGAGGCCAGACACAGGGTGTCTGAGGCTGTGCTGTGGATCTGATCCGTTGCTCCGTGCTGCCACTGTCTGGGAGGCCGGGCCGCGGTCTGTCTGGTTTGTCTCACCCCGGCACCCGGCAGCTTGCCTGTTCAGTCCGGCTGTGATCGTGGCACAGCAAGTCTGGTGATCCGATCTGGAGCCTGGTCCCGGCCGTCCAAGGGGCCCCGGCCGACGCCCGGCGGACTCGTGCGTTGCGGGTTCCCTGAGGGGCGTGTACCGGTTGAGCGGGCTGGGTGAGGCCTCTCGCTGAGATGTAGGTGCTAGGTCATATGAAACTGGTAGGGAGCATTGGGCGGCCCAGCTTGGGGCTTGATACAGATTCTGCTAACCCACGAAGGCTCCTTTGTTGAGGGATCTATTGGTACCTGCTGTTGTAGGTTAAATACTGCAGTACGCGATTGAAACAGCAGTACAGTGATAAGCTGATGGCATAATGATAGGTATAATTAGTTCACAAGTTGATAAGTTTTTAGTTTATAAGTATAATAAGTTTATAGAAAATAGGGTTTTGCATGCCGTTGTAAGTGCCCTTTGGTCCCCTGCAGTAACTAATTTGAAAGGTAGCCAAGCGTGCAAGGGGTATCATGCTAGTTTTCCTTAAATCCCCTGGTTTTGCTGATTTACACATGCTTATGCATTTTTATCAGATGGTAACGAATGTTGCGGCTGTTGCCTTCTGAAAACAACGCGGTGAACATTGCAGTTGCGAGCCCAACTTTACACCATTTAGCACCTGCTGCTGTGTGGACGGCTGATTCTGTGGTTACTGTGCCACCATCCACCGAGAGCCCGTCTGGCACCTGCTGCTGTGTGGACAGCTGATTCTGTGGCTACTGTGCTACCATCCACCGAGAGCCTGTCTGGCACCTGCTGCTGTGTGGACGGCTGATTCTGTGGTTACTGTGCTACCATCCACCGAGAGCCTGTCTGGCACCTGCTGCTGTGTGGACGGCTGATTCTGTGGTTACTGTGCTGCCATCTACCGAGAGCCTGTCTGGCACCTGCTGCTGTGTGGACGGCTGATTCTGTGGTCACTGTGCTACCATCCACCGAGAGCCTGTCTGGCACCTGCTGCTGTGTGGACGGCTGATTCTGTGGTTACTGTGCTGCCATCCACCGAGAGCCTGTCTGGCACCTGCTGCTGTGTGGACGGCTGATTCTGTGGTTACTGTGCTGCCATCCACCGAGAGCCTGTCTGGCACCTGCTGCTGTGTGGACGGCTGATTCTGTGGTTACTGTGCTGCCATCCACCGAGAGCCTGTCTGGCACCTGCTGCTGTGTGGATGGCTGATTCTGTGGTTACTGTGCTGCCATCTACCGAGAGCCTGTCCGACGCTGAGGGCTGACAAGCTCGCGGGCCGCGCTCCAGGATGCCCTCGAGCGCACCTTCGTGGACTCGGGCGCGGGCAGTCTGCGCCATCTCGTGAGCTACTACGCCACTAGCGTCGTCGAGCGGCTCCGCCAGGTGCGCGACACCAACTATCAGCTGCGGGCCGAGTACGATCAGCTGGCGTCGGATCGTGAGAGCGTCGAGAACATCACTCTGGACGACAGGTGGGGCTGATGAAGGCGCAGACGGCCACGCTGACAGAATGCTTCAAGCTTCAGCGGTGGACATCTTAGCAGTGTGGTGCTGAAACTTGATGATTTGTCATGACGTGGGCGCGGCGGCTGCCACACTTAGCGCCCGGCTTTCTCCCGGTGTGCGTGTCAGGGGCGCGGCTCCGATGTCTTCGGCTCGGAGCTCGTGGCGGCTGGCCGTGTGACGCAGATTACTACACATTCTGGGTAATGGTGGTATTAATGATAACTGGCGACATCGCCGTTGTTAGTGCCATCAACAAAGTCATGATCATTAAATATTGTTTATTAACAATGCACCGACGCCAAACGGCCCTTCCTGCCAGCAGTCGTTCGTACGTAGGTTGTTCGGGGCTAAGGTAGCATGAACGCACGCAAGTGGCCTGGTGCCCGTATCTGATCGATGCAAGCCAACTTCTCGTGATGCCACCTCGTCACCAAATTAAAGAGTGATCCTGGGCTGGTGTGTGGCCTTTGCTGGATGCGTCTCTGAATCGGCGCGGAGTCATGTATCATGAGCAGCAGATCTCCCTTTCATGCATGTCTTGGTGACTACTTGAAGAGTGATCCTGGGCTGGTGTGTGGCCTTTGCTGGATGCGTCTCTGAATCGGCGCGGAGTCATGTATCATGAGCAGCAGATCTCCCTTTCATGCATGTCTTGGTGACTACTTCATGTGTGTTAAACGGTCTCCAAGCATGCAGCTCCGTGGAAATGAGAATAGATGGATGCATTTATGTATTACCCTCTTGTTAGAAATGATCAGTTTTATGTTTCTTACCCAGTGCTGGGCTTTCTGTTTCACACGTACGTAGATGTAAATTGTAAGGACCGAGCCTTGCTTACAGAACTGGACCATGGAACGCCACACGTGCCAGGGTTGTCAGGAGGTGCCTGCTACTGTGGGAGCGTGGTTTCAAGTGTCGGTAGCCTGTTGTCTTCATCTTGTCCCATGTTTGGGTTTGTAATGGTGTGCAGTGTGATGTTTTCCCGTGGGTGGGTGATTAAGTGCAGTGTAATGTTTTCCCTGTGAGGGAGTGACCAAGTGCGGTGCAATGGGTTTGCCGTGAGGGGGTAACCGGGTGCATTGAGATGGTTTCCCCATGAGTGGATGACCGGGTGCAGTGTAATGGTTTCCCTGTGAGTGGATGACTGGGTGCAGTGTAATGGTTACCCTGTGAGCTGTGGATGACTGGGGGGAAGTGTGATGGTTCCCCTGTGAGTGGATGACTGGGTGCAGTGTAATGGTTACCCTGTGAGTGGATGACTGGGTGCAGTGTAATGGTTCCCTGTGAGTGGATGACCAGGTGCAGTGTAGTGGTTCCCCAGTGAATGGATGACTGTGTGCAGTGTAATGGTTTCCCTGCGAGTGGATGACCGGGTGCAGTGTAATGGTTACCCTGTGAGTCGATGACTGGGTGCAGTGTAATGGTTTCCCTGTGAGTGGATGACTGGGTGCAGTGTAATGGTTCCCCTGTGAGTGGATGACCAGATGCAGTGTAATGGTTTCCCTGTGACTGGATGACCAAGTGCAGTGAACGATCGACCGGTCGGCTGAGTTGCCGCCATAGCCGATGCTCACCGGTCTGCACCTGTCTGTGGCCAGCCTGCTGGTGGACATTCTGGCCGAGACAGCCGACCGGCCTGCCCTCTGTCGGGCCCGGGGGAACTATCGACATGTCGGCGTACCCCAACATGAGCTTCGAGTCGGCCGATGACTTGGCAGGGTACGTCTCGGCACTCGCACAGCATTACACTGAGTATCGCCGTCACCTGTCTTTGCTGGACACTGCCGTAAAGTATGATTTGCTTACACTGTAAATAGAGATGTTAATGATTACCACTTATTTACGCTTCCTCCGAGTGTTACGTAGCGGGCCGGCCATGGCTGAAGCCAGGGATCAATCATGGCCGTCCGTCATGAACCCCATCCCCTGTAGCTCCTTGGTCAGCTTTGTTGATCCGTGGACGGCCAGCGCCAAATGAGCCGGGCGGCGGCCTTGGCCCGTGTGTGGCGTCCCAGCCGTGCCGTCCTGGCCCCGGCCGCGGCGCCGCCGGCTGGCCTGATTTCCCCAGGGGTCACTGAGACCGCCTCTGTCGGGACTGGCGACAGCTCAGGCCGCGTCCCTCCTGTGACCCGCGCCTTCTGCCCCCTCCCCGCCCCCTCCCGTCGGACGCTCGTCTGTGGTGTTGTCCGAACGATCTCGGGGCGCGGCGTTTTTCGGCTTGCTAACACCTGGGCTGGATTTGAACTGCGCGGTTTTCATTTTGTCAATGCTTGGTGTGGCGCCTGGCATGGAACGCCTCCATGCGCTCCCTGGCAATATGAGTTTTATAGACTTCGAACCACACCCAGGCCTGCTGCCAATGATGTACTGGAGTTATTTAGGAGTAGCTGTTTGATAGTATTGGCAATGTTGGCTTTGGGTTCTGCAAAGACAGCTCCGAATCTCAGTACTCCAGGGAGGGAATTCAGGCTGTCTTGCGTGTCACTCAAAGCCAAATACCATCTAGTCACTCCAATGGCTCAGTGACACCCGACGACGACCGGAAAATTGACTGGCCGAAACGCCGTGCACATGCTAACACGCCAGACTCGGACAATAGTCCGCACAATTTCTCCATCCGTGAGGCCGTTTTTGTAACAGGAGGGTCATCGTTTTGACCAAGCAGCCTGTGACCAAGCTGAGGGTAACCGGGCGATGCCCACTACCGCCTGTACCTCGAGGAGGCTGCAGTAGCATACTGACATGCGGCGTCGTGATCCGACAGGATGAACTCCTCGCTCGACTCGGAGGAGATTGTCGTGCAGTCCTCGCCTCTCGCGGAGGTGACCAGTCCACCGAACAAGAAGGTCCGCCTGTAGCCCGCCGCCGGCCGGTGAGTACCGAGCGGGTCGTCGCTCGTAAGTACGCTTCTCCGGCCGCACGGTGGGAGGGCGCCGGGCCACGCCACCGTCGCGCTCGGCTCATCACCAGCCGCCACCCCTGCTGGGGACAGCTGCGCTCCGCCGCCCGACCGCCGCCCCTCGCCGCAACGCCGCACCGTCCGGGCCGGCAAAGCAGCGCGACCGGCAGCGCGTTTCGCCGGCGGCCGCTGGCAACGGCGCTGCTTCGGCGATGGCGTCACGTCGTTTGTCGTTGCTGCCGGCCTCGGGCCGGACTAATATTCCGCCGCGGCGGCGGTGGCTCGCCGTGATTTGCCTGCCGGCGGCCCGGTTAATTTAATCGCCGCGGCGACTCCATGCCCGTCCCGCGGGCGTCATCCTGCCCGGCGGCGGCACTGAGCCGTGCTCCGCCGCACCTGGATGTACTCCGACGTACCCAGTCCTCGGGGGCAGGCACGCTCCCGTTGCCGGCAGTAGTGCTCCGGCTGCCCGCGCCGGGCCGGCCGACGCAGTGGCGGCTGGGTCGTGCGGACGGACGCCGACGGACGGCGACGCGCGGCGTCCGTCGTTAGTTCGACGCGCAGAGGCGCATTATCGCCGGCAATTAGTTGACTGACGAGTTGGACTTGTGGGGGCGGCGCTCGGCGGCCGGCGCTGAGCAGGGCACTTACGCTTTTCAAGTGTCCCGTGCCTGGAAAGGGCTGCGGCCTTCGCTTTCGACGATGTTTCGAATCGATAGGGGTTTTCTGTGTGGCAACGTCGAAACTAAGCTAGATTCTTTCATGTTGACGTGGAAGCGTGGAATGTTTCATGTTAACGCCATATTGCTGGACACATTAGTCGTCAGCCGCAGCACGCCGTGACCTGTCTCCTATCGTGACCTGTCTCTCGTCATCTGCAGTGGACCGTGACCTGTCACCCACCGTGACCTGTCTCCGGTCAGCTGCAGCGTGCCGTGACCTGTCTCCTTCCGTGACCTGTCCTCTACCATGACCTGTCTCCCGTCATCTGCAGTGGACCGTTACCTGTCTCCTACCGTGACCTGTCTCCTGCCAGCTGCAGCGTGCCGTGACCTGTCTCCTACCGTGACCTGTCTCCCGTCAGCTGCAGCGTGCCGTGACCTGCCTCCTATCGTGACCTGCCTCCCGTCATCTGCAGTGGACCATGACCTGTCTCCCACCGTGACCTTGCAGCGGGCCGTGACCTGTCTCCCACCGTGACATGTCTCTCGTCATCTGTAGTGGACCGTTACCTGTCTCTTACCGTGACCTGTCTCTCGTCAGCTTCAGCGCGCCTTGACCTGTCTCCTACCGTGGCCTGTCTCCCGTCAGCTGCAGCGTGCCGTGACCTGTCTCCTACCGTGGCCTGTCTCCCGTCAGCTGCAGCGTGCCGTGACCTGTCTCCTACCGTGACCTGTCTCCCGTCATCTGCAGTGGACCATGACCCGTCTCCCACCGTGACCTTGCAGCGGGCCGTGACCTGTCTCCTACCGTGACCTGTCTCTCGTCATCTGTAGTGGACCGTTACCTGTCTCTTACCGTGACCTGTCTCTCGTCAGCTTCAGCGCGCCTTGACCTGTCTCCTACCGTGGCCTGTCTCCCGTCAGCTGCAGCGTGCCGTGACCTGCCTCCTACCGTGACCTGCCTCCCGTCATCTGCGGTGGACCATGACCTGTCTCCCACCGTGACCTTGCAGCGGGCCGTGACCTGTCTCCCACCGTGACATGTCTCTCGTCATCTGTAGTGGACCGTTACCTGTCTCCTACCGTAACCTGTCTCCCGTCAGCTTCAGCTTGCCGTGACCTGTCTCCTACTGTGACCCGTCTCCTACCGTGGCCTGTCTCCCGTCAGCTGCTGCGGGCCGTGACCTGCCTCAGCTTACGGGTCGACCCCAGCCAGGCTGGCTGCAGGCACGGCCTCTGGGTGGCTGAAAGTGAGCCGTGTCCCCAACAGGGGATGAGGCGGCGGGTCAGCTCAGGCACGGCCGAGGTTTTCCTCGCCCGACCCAGGTGCTGGTTTAAGCCACCCGTCGGCTCCGTCGCCCGTTCTCCGGCTCCTGTGGACGTCTGCCATTGTGCAGCCGTGTCTCGAGCCGCACCGTTGCTCGGCGCACGGCTCAGAAAGTCAGGGGCGTGCGACCCGTCCCGCTGGCCACAGTCAGCTGGGTTTTCTCCCGCTCGATCAGAGATGTGAAGGATTATTGCGACAGTGGTCACAGTGATCACGTTGGTGGTGGCGGTCATGCCCGCTGGCAGAGCATTACCCATCGCTGAACGCCGCTGTCCATCGGCTGCGTTGTCCGATTAGTCCTGTGGCGCAATGCCGATGGCTGATTTTCACTCTGTCACGGTGATTGGCTCGCCAAATTCATCCGTCTTTCGCTCCGACGCTCTCGACCAGGCTTAATGAGATCGACCGGTTCGTCTTCGGGCTCCCGGTGCGGGCTGCTCGGAGGGCACCGGTGGCGCGGAGGCCGGTGTGACGGCGCCGGGAGCTCTGCAGTGCGGTCACGCTCCAGATGGACGCGGCGGGTGACACTGGCAGGCGCGGCGGACGGCCGCTGCGAGATCGTCGGGCGGCCGGCCGAACCTACCGGACTACGCCGAGCGGTGCTAAAGACCGCGTCGTAAAATCAAATCCGCGGGGATCTGCTTGATGATCGTGGTGGTCGTTTCGCCCCCCCCCCCCCTCTCCCACCCCCACCCCATCCGCCATCTCCAGACCTTTGTCCAGTGGGCTTACGTGGTGTCGAAACTCGGGTTGAGCGAATGGGTGACCTTTGACTCGGGTATTTTGCGCATCTTTGCTGAGCAGATCTGCCGCTCTGTGTTGAAGAGGATCAGGTGCTCAATCCGATCAATTCCGGGTCATAAACTCCCACCCAACCGATGCAGATTCCCTGTATCGGCACAGGCTGGAAAAAGATAGCGAAATACCACGCGGCGTAGGACGCGGCCTCCCGATACCCCAAGAACGGGTGGCCTGACCTCCCGGAGGACTAGGCCCCCCCCCCCATCCCGCACCCAGAGCAAATGGACCAAGTTCCATGGTAAATGCGTCCGACTCCACCGGCGGGAACACGACCCAGCCGCCTGCCATGCATCACAGAGACGTGGCAACAGCTCCCGGCGGATCGACCAATCGCTGTCTGGCTGTCCCGTCACATGACGCCGCCCAACCGGCCGGCGGCCCGACCACGTGACCGGGTGGGCGCGCTGAAGTGTGATTGTATCGCCGCGGACTCGTGTGTGAGGGCGCGTTTGTCTGCGATGGTGGCGCGCGCTACGGCGCCAGAGGGCGTTTCGGCCGGGTGTGATGCTCGAGTGGACTTTGCATGCCGGCAGCTTTCATCGATGCGGTGTCAGATTCGCCGCCGGGGCCGAAGTTGTGGCCGTGAAAGCGAAGCTCCTGGAAGTCTGCCGAGCGTGACCGCATTGCGGGTGTTCAACACGTTGTTCGGTGCTCGTTCGTGCCGACTCGCGGGAACGCTTGCTCGCGTGCGCTGCGCGGCGGCCGGGTAGGCTTGTGTTTGGCAGGCGGATAGGCGGGCGATGGTTCGGCTGTTGGACGGTGGTTTTCTCTGCCAATGTGTAATGGTGGTCTCTGGCAGTTTCACCGGCACTCTTTGTACAATTGTTTGTTCTGGACAGGTTGAAGGTCTGTTTAGTTATTCGTTTAGTGTGAGCGATTCACACGTAAAACCCCAATTGCGGAAACCGTTCAGTTCATAAAAAACAATGAATCCACGGAACACAAGTAAACGACGCAATCACACGTACGCATGGACATTACACATTGGCCAATGGGACACGTCTTTTACCGATGGAGCGCTCCAACCCGAACAAAGCGGGCTGGAATTATTGTGTTGGCTGTGCGGCGTCGGATGAGGTAGAATGCTGACGAACATTGATTGCAGGTGATGGACAGACGAAGAATGCATCCATTTTTCGATAGCTTTGTGTGCCGGTTCTCGTGGGAAGGCCCGGTATCCTGCTTGCCTTTGAGGCAGTGGCGTGCGCGCGCGCGTACACACGCACAAGCTCAAACTTTGACCTAAGTGAGTTCACGTACAGCTCAAGACACCCTGTAAATTTGGTGTCTTTAGCTTTCTTAGTTCCCGGGGTCTCAGAGAGGTCAGATTGACCCTACCTACCCGAGCGAAGGGTATCTAGCCGGCTACCCGGGCGCGTGTTAAGTTTCGGTCACTAATTCTTAGGCTATTGGCAGAGGCGATCCCAGGCCGCCTGATGTTGGAAAAATCTGCTAAACTGTCGATTCGATAAATTAGATGGCGCATGTTCACATAATCAGCGTAAACAATGCGCTCACTCTTCCCATGGTCGTGAGCATCAGCTATAAAGCAGGCGACCAGCAACGGTCCTAGACTGCTGCCTTCCAGGACATTGCATTGCGCTGGAATCTAGCCAGACCGCCTACCGTTCAGCACTAGGCGTTGTAAACCACTGCTAAATACGACTCAAGCCAGCTGTACGCGACCAGTGATGCACACAGAATGGCGGGGCTCGTGTCACAGAATAGCGGAGCTCGTGTAACAGAATGGCGGAGCTCGTGTGACAGAATGACGGTAGTCGTGTAACAGAATGGCGGGGGTCGTGTAACAGAATGGCGGAGGTCGTGTAACAGAATGGCGGAGCTTGTGTAACGGAATGGCGGGGGTCGTGTTACAGAATGGCGGTAGTCATGTAACGGAATGGTGGAGGTCGTGTAACAGAATGGTGCAGGTCGTGTAACAGGATAGCGGAGCTCGTATAACAGAATGGCGGAGGTTGTGTATTAAAGTGGCGGAGGTCGTGTAACAGGATAGCGGAGCTCGTGTAACATAATTTGCGGTAGTCGTGTCACAGAATGGCGGTAGTCTTGTAGCAGAGTGACGGAGGTCGTGTAAAAGAATAGCGGAGCTCGTGTAACAGAATGGCGGAGGTTGTGTAACAGAATGGCGGTAGTCTCGTTACAGACTGGTGGAGCTCGTGTAACAGAATGGCGGAACTCGTGTAACAGAATGACGGAACTCTTGTAACAGAATGTCGGAGGTCGTGTAACGGTAGGATGGAGTTCGTGTAACAGCATCTAAGGCGGTCGGCGCAGATGAATGCTGTAAATGCTGAAGTGTAATGAGTTCGTGTAACAGCATCTAAGGCGATCGACGCAGATGAATGCTGAAGTGTAAAAGATTTGTATTGCATCCGTGTATTTTCCTTCTGAGGTGATGTCCGACATTATTCAAGAATGCATGGAAGGTTTGTGAAGTAGGAAAGTGTTTGAAGAGATGCGTGTTGGGATGAGAGTGGTGCGGCAAACAAGCTTGTAACGAGCTTTCGCTGTTTGTGTTGTTACCAAGACCGCCCAGTAGCCGCCACTTAATCGCACGAGCCTCAGAAACTGCATTTGTGGATACGTTATACCACTGCGGGTCCCTCAGGCTTCCGAACTGTGGTCGTAAAGCCGTGATCAAATGGTACAGCTATGATCAGGCACGTCTCGTAGAAGCACAATCACGGTGTAATACCATCCCGTGCTGGTACGGCTGTGGTACAGTCTGTAGGGGTGCAGCTACGGTCGGGCGCCGTGTCTCAGCCATGACCAGGAATCACCATGCGCTGGTACACCATGTTCAGATACCGTTCCTCGCGGACGCGCCATGTTCAAATATCGTTCTGTGTTTATACGCCATGATCAGATACCGCCCTGCGCCGGTGCGCCATGGTCAGATACCGTTCTGCGCTGGTACGCCGTGGTTAGATACCATCCGGCGCTGGTACACCATGGTTAAATACCGTCCTGTGCTGGTACACCATGGTCAGATACTGTCCTGCGCTGGTGTGCCGTGGTCAGGTGCCGTCCAGCGCTGGTGTGCCATGGTCAGGACCAGGTCCATGGTCCTTGCGCTGGTGTGCCGTGGTCAGATGCCGTCCAGCGCTGGTGTGCCGTGGTCAGGTCCGGGTCCATGGTCCTTGCGCTGGTGTGCCGTGTTCAGGTGCCGTCCAGCGCTGGTGTGCCGTGGTCAGGTGCAGTCCTGCGTTGGTGTGCCGTGGTCAGGTGCCGTCCTGCGCTGGTGTGCCGTGGCCAGGCCCGGGTCCATGGTCCTTGCATCGGTGTGCCGTGGTCAGGTGCCGTCCTGCGCTGGTGTGCCGTGGTCAGGTGCCGTCCTGCGCTGGTGTGCAGTGGTCAGGTCCAGGTCCATGGTCCTTGCGCTGGTGTGCCGTGGTCAGGTGCCGGACGTCCGCAGGCCATTACACCCGGCTCCGCCGCCAGGCCGCCGCCGATTGGACCGGCTTTTATTGTATCCCCGGCCGGCCCGTTCGCCGAATGGACGTATTTCGGAATGTTATTGGATGTCCAGCAGCTCGCTGGCCGATCTGCAAAGGCCATTCGAGATGCGGGGGTCGCCTCTGGGGCGCCGTGCTGGGCGCGGCGCATGGCAGAGTCGAGCGCCCACCGACATACGCTGTTCATTCGGTGTGGAGAACTTCTGCCTCATGGTGGTGGTGGTGAGGGAGGCGGGAGGGGACAAGAGCACGAGCCTCGTGCTGCGCCGTGCGCCGTCGCGACACGCGAACCGTGGTGTTGTATTGAGCGCGATGCTGCGGTGTGACCTGTCTGTTGATGCTTGGCGCCAGAGGGCGCGCGGCCTGCCGGGGCGGCGTGTGGCTGCTCCACAGGTGGGCGCCTGGTGGGGCGGGGGAGCGGTGCGTGAACGGGGCGGGGCGGGGCGTGTCTGCCGTCGTCGGACGGTCTCTAGGTCAACGGCGGGCACCAGCGGCACCTGGTCCTCCTCAGGCGCCTCGCTGCAAATGCGGCTTTCAACAAGCCTTTGTTGTGAGTCGGCGGCACTATCGTGTCTCTTGACGTCGGCTGAGCATATTATCTCGGCGATTGTCTCACATTAAACTTGCCTGATGGCCTCATTACGAACTCGCGCAAGTTCCCTGCCGTGCGCGGCAATTTCCGTGCAGTGCCACCGGCCGGCCGGGCGGCCGGCCGACGTGAACGACGTGCCGCGGGCAATCTCAGCCATCGGCGGCACGCTGGCCGGGCGCGTGACAGCGTGACGACGTGAGGCGCGGGCGCGTGACACGCGCGGCATGTGTCCGGCCATCGTCCAGGCGCCGCGCCACTCACCCCGCCCCCGCGGGCGCAGTGGACACTCGGCCTCCGCCGCTGGTCTGCCGCGGTCGCCACGCGGAGCGCTCGTGCTGGTCAGGCTGCGATGGGTCGGCTCGTCTCGCTGTGGGCGCTGTTGCTGTTGCCGCACGGCCGGCCGGCACCGATTCAGGTATCGGCTGGGGGATGGCTGACCGCTCGCGTGCTGACTGAAGTCACGATCCCGCCAGCTTTGCGAAGTTTGGCAACCGCGCGGACCAGGTCAAGTGTACCTTAGGGAACGATTTCTTCGTCTTCTTAGAACGTGGAAGGGCGTTTTCCCGGTGCTGAACTTATCCCAAAGGCTCAAGCACTGAGCGGGCGATGTAGCCGTGCCGTTCAGAACGCTGCTGATCAGTTACGTGCCAAATGATGGGGCGCCGGATCAGGAGTATTCCTGTTTGGAGCGCCCTGTTGGAGTTCGAATCTGTGGTTTCTGTGATCCACAAAACATCAGGGAGTCTTGGTGCTCTGAGAGGAAAGACAAAGTCACGGGATCAGAGGAGTGTGTTTCGGCGTCAGACAAACGTGTTAGCTCGGATGGTTGGATTGATATTGCGTGTGGGGTAGACTAAATCGACGCAGCCTCCATCCAGCCCATGATCCGCCCACGATGTAGCCCGGGCTTAATCCCCGGCATCCGTCTTGCCGCAAGCGATGCACAAAATCGCACGGATGGAAATTTGATGCATGGTGCATCCCATGATGCATTTAATATCGCCATCTGACATTGAAAGATTACGGCCCGGCCTCATCGACCCAGCCGGGGGCAGAGGGCGCAGCGTTGTGTGATGCTGCGGGGATGGTCACCCGTGTCGTCAGTGGGGGCGGACACCCGTGTCGTCTGTGGGGATGCACACCCGTGTCGTCTGTGGAGATGGACAGCCGTGACGTCTGTGGGGATGGACACCCGTGTCGTCTGTGGGGATGCACACCCGTGTCGTCTGTGGAGATGGACAGCCGTGTCGTCTGTGGGGGTGGACACCCGTGTCGTCTGTGGGGATGCACACCCGTGTCGTCGATGGAGATGGACAGCCGTAACGTCTGTGGGGATGGACACCCGTGTCGTCTGTGGGGATGCACACCCGTGTCGTCCGTGGAGATGGACAGCCGTGTCGTCGGTGGAGATGGACAGCCGTGTCGTCTGTGGGGGTGCACACCCGCATCGTCTGTGGAGATGGACAGCCGTGACGTCTGTGGGGGTGGACATCCGTGTCGTCTGTAGGATGCACACCCGTGTCGTCGTTGGGTATGCACACCCGCATCGTCTGTGGGGATGCACACCCGTGTCGTCTGTGCCGTCTGTGGGGGACGGACACCCGTGTCGTCTGTGGGGATGCACACCCGTGTCGTCTGTGGAGATGGACAGCCGTGACGTCTGTGGGGGTGGACATCCGTGTCGTCTGTGGGATGCACACCCGTGTCGTCGTTGGGTATGCACACCCGCATCGTCTGTGGGGATGCACACTCGTGTCATCGGTGGGGATGGGCACCGTGTAGTCTTTGGGGATGCACACCCGTGTCGTCTGTGGGGATGATCACCCGTGTCTTCGGTGGGGATGGACACTGGTGTCGTCTGTGGGATGCACACCCGTGTCGTCTGTGGAGGATGGACACCCGTGCCGTCTGTGGGGATGGACACCGTGTCGTCTGTGGGGATGGTCACCCGTGTCGTCGGTGGGGATGGACACTCGTGTCGTCTGTGGGGGATGGACACCCGTGTCGCCTGTGGGGATGGTCACCTGTGTCGTCGGTGGGGATGGGCACCCGTGTCGTCCGTGGGGATGCACACCCGTGTCGTCTGTGCCGTCTGTGGGGAAGGACACCCGTGTCGTCTGTCGGGATGCACACTCGTGTCGCCGGTGGGGATGGACACCCGTGTCGTCTGTGGGGATGGACACTCCGTGTCGTCTGTGGGGATGGTCACCGGTGTCGTCGGTGGAGATGCACAGCCGTGTCGTCTGTAGGGAATGGACACTCGTGTCGTCTGTGGGATGCTGGTGGCTACGCCCGGGATATCGGATTTAAGTGATATATATATATATATATATATATATATATATATTATGTATATATATTATATATATTGAAGTACCCAGAGCCTATTTCAACCAATTAACAGCAGCAGAGTTGTGCTTAGGTTTCGCTAAAATTTTGAAGGACGGATTCCACTGTTCTGCGTAAGGGCATAGCGATGAGTGATCATACAAAGTCAGATTGCCTCCAGTTAAGTTCGTTTTAGCTGTACGTTGCTTCCTGTTTCACTTAAATGGTCTAGGCAAAGTGTTTGTCAACATTGTTTTGTTGTCTGGAAAGCGGAAAGAAACTGTGATTCCATGATAAAGTTATTCAACCCCAGCGAGCCTGGCCTGCCGTCTAAAGTACCCACATGCCACGCACGATTGGCAGAGGCTGCTGTCTCCTCACACGCTGTCACGTGCCCGAGACACGCTACCGGGCCTCGGTAGCGCTCACGCTTCCGAGGGCTGGCGGCGGTAAAGGGCCTCAAGGGGCCTCTCCGTGAGCCGAGCATAACTCCTCGCTCCGTCCTTTTCAGAACAGCCTGGAGCTTCTTGAACGGAAGCTCACTCTCGAGGACCCTGGTGAGAGGCCGCCCGCCGACTGTGGAGCGCTGCCCGGGTGAATGCTGGGTCGATCGTGCGGCGGAGTGGCAGGCAGACAGGGCAGAGACTGGAGTGATCCGCACCTGCCGGTCCTCAGGCTACCGATGTCTGGGCACCATGGTCCTATCTGGATGCTCCCACGGTCCTGCCAGCCGTTTACCGAGGCAGGACCGTTGCCGCGTCCGCTGATTACCGGGGTATCAGCCGTTGGATCCCGGGGCCAGGTCCACGGGCTCCCGTGTAACCACGTTCGTGGTCATTACTCGCCAGTCCCCCACTGCATATACGAGAGGACGTATGAAAAGGTCTGGGACTGCCAAATGCCCTCCTAGTTCTGTTGCTCGCAGAACGAGCTAAACAGTTGTACTCGAAAAGCTTCTGGTAATCACCCACAGCTTCGAAGACGTGAACTAATTCACACGAACACATCCCGCGTCTGCTCGTCATATTGGCTCGAAACGCTATGGACGAAAATGCTACCATACTGTGTACCATTGCGCGGCATTCCTCTCTCAATGGGTCCTTCCTTGAGACCGGAACTTTGCAGGACTAGTGCAGAGTAAAGGGAAAGTTCTCGTCGGAAAGAAAGGTACTAAAGGAACAAAGTAAGTTTGCCGCAGCTTTCTGCCTATTGCACATCACCGCAACGTGCGACGCAGTTCCAGAGCGCCTTCTTGGTAGACCGGATCCCCCTTCACGGCAGGTGCAACTGAATTCTGCCGACCCGGTGTGTTGCTTGCGAAGCGTTCGCTGAACGCAGCCTCTGGCCGCTCTGTTGTTGCGCTGTCATGCGGATCGAGTCTCCGGCCTCGTTTGAGACTGCCGCGGCTTGCGTTTGACTGAGCACAGGGTGCAGGGTGGCCGTCCCAGACGACGGGACGATTTTCTCGCGCACGCTTGGAGCGTTTCAAAGTGCGGCGCTTCGCCAGACAGTCTCCGACCGCTTTGAGACTCCGTGATCAATCGCTCGCCCAACCGTGTGTTTGTTGCCACAACCCACCCCGCGGATAACCATTGCCTCCGCTGCCCCCACTCCCGCCTCTGGCGCGTCCGTCGAAAGCCTGCGCGACCGATCTGTTAAAGACGGCGGGCTTATCCGTGCGGGAGGACCGCTATCTGTCAGGCCGGGTGTGGGTGCGCGCGGCACGCCAGCAGCTATCTCCGGCGCGGTGGGTGCCGCCGCCGCCGCCGCCTTCCCGCTCCATTTAGCCCTCCGCAGCCGGTGACAAAATGGTAAAATAGCGTCGACGCGGGGCGACAGCGCGCAGAGGCAAACGAGAGAAGTTGGGCGCCGCGGCCGGCCCAGGAAGAGGCGGCAAACTTACGCGGATGGGCCGTTTGCGGAGTGATTTGGAGCCGCCAGGTGGTGGCGCCGGTGTAAACAGCCGCGGCGAGCGCGGCGGCGTGTGGTCAGAGAGCACTGGCAGCTCGCGCAGATACGGCGCGTGCGTGCGTGGTTCGTTATGTCGTGGGGCTTTTAAGGAGTTCCAATATTTATGCGTCATTCGGTTTGCGCGGCTTTAATGAAGGGATTGGGGCTTTGGTTCGCTGAACGAAATCCGCTTCTTTCTATCAACGAGCAAAAGTGGAACGTCGAGAAGAATAACAATCCCTCAACCGTCCGAACTGAGTTCTCCTCCAAGTGGACGGCCGAGCATATGTGCGAGCTCTCAGTTCTGTTCGTACCGCATGTGATATATACTGCGTGTGTTTGTGCCTGCTGGGGATGCATTTGAGCGGTTCAGCTGTGCTTCCGCGGTTTGTTCATGTAGCGTCACAGTGGAGTTTACCTGATCTGCTTGCGATAGGTTTTGCTATCAATGGAGGTTATGCCTGATGTTATCCCTTATCCCTGACCAATGGAGGTTATCACTGATATATGTATATATATATATATATATATATATATATATATATATATATATATATATATAGTGTTTAATAAACCGTAAAACCGCGCTACATCACTGCGATTTTGCAAAATTGTTAAATTTTATCCGTGAAAGGATTGCGTCTTCCTGAAGCGGTCTGTTACTATCACGGGATCTGCTGGGTGCTCATTTCGCCGCTAGGTATGGCTGCAATGCTCTGCATCATTTTGCAGCAATTTGTAAATAGGCTTCTGAAGGTTTTGTGATGCTGCGAGGTCGGTGCTAGCGTTCCTTTCGTTTCTTGATGCTGTTCTAGACATTTGATGACCGCAATGCCAACTGTTCGCTCGGCCTGGCAGACTTGTACGAATTTGCTTTGCTCAGCAACGCACTGCACCCCTTGTCCATTTCAGGGCTATGCAGAATTGTAATGTTGGCAATGCTTGTGGGGTTTTATCACGCATATCCCTCCCAAAAAGGATTTAGACCGTCATGTTACGTTAGTCACATATACTTCGCTCATTGGTTTCTTATGTTGATGTTGACGTCTAGCGTCTCATAGGGTCAGCAGCCAGTATTCCGCTCTGAACCCGCTGTCCAGTTTTGTGTGCCTGCATCTACTCAGAAATGGCGTCTCTGTTGTTGCAGGCACGGGCGTGGCCCTGCCACACCAGGCGGCCGCTGACCCTGCTCAGCTACCCCAACTAGACACAGGAGTGGCCAAGCCAACACCTCTGGATGCAGACGTGGCCCTTCCACCGCATCCGACCGCAGACGCGTCGGTCAAACAACCATACCACGGCGTGGATGCGTCCCCAGCACACCTGGACGTGGCTGTGGCCCCGCCGTCACTGCTGGAGGCGGCCGCAGCCCCGCCGCCGTGGTCCCGCGGCGTCGGCGGCCGGCTGCTGCAGCTGCAGCTGCCGCTGGAGTGGCTGCCGGCCGTGGCGGTACCCTTGCGCCGGCTACGCGCGCGCTACGACGCGCTGGCCGCCCGGCTGCGCGCCCAGCGCTCCCGGCTGGGCGCTCTGTGGCGCGCGTTACGCCGTGAACGGCCGCGGATCAGGATCAGTCGGCGGCGGCTGCAGCTGCAGCAGCCAGTGGGACCGCGGGTTCGCAGAGAGCGGCGACGGCGGCGCACGACAGCCATCGCGGCGCGAGGCGCAGGCGGGGACCGCGAGCAGTCGGCCCCTCGCGCGGGGAGCGGCGCGAGGCGCAGGCGGGGACCGCGAGCAGTCGGCCCTCGCGCGGGGAGCGGCGCGAGGCGCAGGCGGGGACCGCGAGCAGTCAGCCCTCGCGCGGGGAGCGGCACGAGGCGCAGGCGGGGACCGCGAGCTGTCGGCCCTCGTGCGGGGAGCGGCGCGAGGCGCGGGCGGGGACCGCGAGCGGTCGGCCCTCGCGCGAGGTAGCGGCGCGAGGCTCAGGCGGGGACCGCGGGCGGTCGGCCCTCGCGCGGGCAGTGGCGTGAGGCGCAGGTGGGGACCGCGAGCGGTCGGCCCTCGTGCGGGGGCGGCGCACACCGCCGGGCCGCGCTATCGTCGCGGAAACGCCGTCTGAGAGAAGAGCTGGGCGTGGGCGCCAGAAACGCTGCGTTGCTGGGTCTGCTGTCTGTTTTATTGAACGATCCTTGTGTCAGCTTCGATCACTAGCGTAGGGCGGCAATGTAGAGAGAGAGAGAGGTGGGAATCGTTGTGCCTTGAAAGCGAGCTTCAGTAATTTTACGCTGCGGCTCTGCTTTCACGGCATTTCACACAATCTTTGCGATGAGGAAGTCACGTAATTTGTCATTCAGACCTGTCCAAACAGCCGGGTCAACATGCTGGTCAGCTGAAATGCATTCACCAGGTTTTGGCGTCCCCTGGCGGCACTTATGTGATCGCAGGCATGTGCATACGTGCATCGTACTATCCGAGAGCGGACTGAGCGCGTTCCGTAAGGGCTGATGGTCGGGGGCATTGCCCCGAAGTAGCAGCTCTACAACAACACGAGACATTGGTACACCATACGTGTCAGGAAAATGGCTGGCCGTCATGCTCGAGGAGACGGCAAATGCCCACTTTAACCTGTGGCAATAAATCACGCGACACCAAGTGTGGAGGTGGGCTGGCGATTGTGGCAGAAAGCAGCAATGTCTCGGGGGAGATCGTCCCAGCCGTACACCAGTGTCTGCTCCAAAAGTGGGTGAAATGGCAATGTATAGTCAATGCTCTATTACTGCGTATAAAACGCCTGGTAACCCGCTTTATGGATTCGTACCAAATGAAGTCGACCAGCGGATTTGCTCGTGTTTCTGTGAAAGTCGTGTCGGCGAGTTGTGAAGAGTTCTTACGGCAAAAGTTCGCTGCCAGATATTGGGAAAAGTGACTGCGATCGGACGGAGAGGAACCTCTAATGAAAACGCTTTGCCAAGTGCAGCAGAAGTTCCGATTCCCAAGTGCCGATGGAGGAATGTGTACGGAAACGATCGTTTCCTCGAACCTGTTCCCTGCCAGCTCTCTCTTGCTCTTGCAACTGCTCCACCATGGTCATGCAAGACGAATTGCTGTCCGCATGCTGCTATAGCTTATTGCAGTGAGCTGGTTGCGTCAAACGGACCAAAAGACAAACCTAACCTGGTTTATGTGCCGTTGGCCGCGACATACGCGAGACGCTTAGATTCGCAATATCGCGATGTAGTGCGGCGGCACCGCGCCGAGACCAGTGGGCTGCTAAGGTTCTTCCTTTGGAGTACTTACATGACATAACCAGATACCCACGCGTCCAACCGTCCGACAGGCGGGCCGGACCGCTCCCCGAACTCGTTCCATGACCTGTCCGTCACCTGCGGCCTCCGACATGGGGCGGCGGGTCAGACCATGTCCCCGAGCCTCCCGATCGAGCCAAACCTTGCGGCCTCTGACAGGGGGCGGCGGGTCAGCCCGTATCCCCGAGCCTTCCGATCAAGCCAAACCGTGTGGCCTCCGACAGGGGGCGGCGGGTCAGCCCGTATCCCCGAGCCTCCCGATCGAGCCGACCCGTGCAGCCGTATCGACAGAGCAGCCTGCGCTTTGTTCCGCGCCGCCCGCTAAATAATTCTCGGCTGGGAGTGGCGGCCGGCCGCCGGCGCGCCGTCCAGACCTGCACCGCCCCCCCCCCCCCCCGCCGCTCTCCCGAGAAAGGTCTGGGGTTGGGCGGCGGTCTGACGGCGCTGGGTGGGGTGTGCGTGAGAAGGGCGGTCTCAAGTGGAGCTCTTGTCCAGCGCTGGTCCTGGGGTGTGCGTGTGAAGGGCGGTCTCAAGTGGAGCTCTTGTCAAGCGCTGGTCCTGGGGTGTGCGTGTGAAGGGCGGTCTCAAGTGGAGCTCTTGTCCAGCGCTGGTCCTGGGGTGTGCGTGTGAAGGGCGGTCTCAAGTGGAGCTCTTGTCCAGCGCTGGTCCTGGGGTGTGCGTGTGAAGGGCGGTCTCAAGCGGAGCTCTCGTCTAACGCTGATCCTTTGCTCGAGCGCTGAGCAGTCGCGTGGACGTGTGATGATGAGCACGGACTTCAAATCTCGAGAATGACCTCAGCCCTGGACATTGCGTCCTTTAGACGCGAAGATTTGCGTCAGACGTCAGGAGAAGGATGCACGGGTCTGTGGGAGGAACATGCACAAGCTTGTCGACACTAGATGAAAAACGCAACGCCTTTGTGCGGAGGCCATTGTATGATAAACCAGGTTGCTATGCCTCAGCACGTTCTCCTAGAAGCCGGAGGAAAAATTAAGCCGAGCTTCGGAGCTGATTATCGCTGAAAGAAGCGCAAGCGGTAACGTTGCTTTCTGTTTGAAACCAGAGTTTAGATGCGTTGCAAAGCCAAATGATCAGCAATGGTCGGATAGTGTAGCCGAACGTGATGTGCTAACGTCGACGCAACATGACATTTACTACAGTTTTCCAAACGAATAAAGCGACGAGTCGTCGGTGTGAAGGCACAGCATAACCGTTCCGAACTCCAGGCTAGTCTGAAGCGTTACAGATGTGCCGCTCGCACGTTCCAGTCTATGTTGAGGCGTTGTCAACGGGCTGCCCCGCTAATGCACCCCCTGCCAGCAGCTGCCCCGCTAATGCACCCTCTGCCAGCAGCTGCCCCGCTAATGCACCCCCTGCCAGCAGCTGCCCCGCTAATGCACCCCCTGCCAGCAGCTGCCTGTCCTGCCATTGTAGACGGATGAGTTACTGCCGAATGCTCATCACTGAGCGCCTGCCAGAACTTCGCAGCCTAATTTCATTTACGGCGGAAAAATTAATTAGCAAACTGCGGGGATGTTTGTTGTTTGGTTACTGTGCTCGAGGTGCCTCCAGGGTCTGGCGGAAGTTTTCCCATATTATCCACACCTGCCCAGCCACGAGTGTGTCACCAGCAACGTCAACACGTGCCCGACAGCAGCCATTTGTGGTAACTACATCTCGCCCAGAAATAAAACACGTTCGAGTAAAACGTATAGATTCAGATTCATACTCGTGCATTGGCCGCATGACTTCAAGAGGGCGGGTCAGTGGAGACCGATAGCACAAAATACGAGCGCAGTATCACAAAAAACAAAACAGTTCAACATTATCCCCCCAAAAGTAAATCATTGATGAACAAGCATCCATGTTGGATCTGCTCACGACCGCAGGCTTTGACTACTGTGGCAGGCCTAACGATTTCATCTCAAAAATCGATCGGTAGGCAGAAGCCGACCGCAGCAGACGAGGCCAGCGGCTCACGCATGCCACGTAGATCATCGAAGTTTCCCCGGGCTGTGATAGCTGTTTGAGTATTGGTGGGTAGCGGGTACTCTGGGGGGTCGTGCTGCTCGTCTCGGGCGCGCCTGGGCCGCACGGGTATGTAGACCTGCTGGCATCGTGGAGTGAGTGAGTTGAGGCTGGCCTCTGCTCTCAGTCCATGTAGGCCACACCAAAGTCTGGTGAATGCCAGTCTGTCAGTCAATGCATCCCCTGGACGGGAGAGCTTATCGAATGGGGAGACGGGTTTTGGAGAGCTTGGAACAATGCTCTGTAGGTGACAGCCTGGGTTTAGGTTCTGTTTTGCAGAGATGTGACGGCTCGACACGTGAGCTCCCCGAGTTTGAACTCATTGCCATAACACAGTTCTCAGCCACGGTTGGATTGGACGTGACAAGCGTTCTCCTTAAGCGTTAGCGTATACATGTATATTAAGGCATTGACTGAATATGCTTGGGTTTAGATATCACCATGTGCTGGCATTCGACCTAGTGTGTGTTCCCTAGTCGATGATTTTTGTCTTTCCTTCCTTTGTCTTCTTTCCGGCCTTTAACGGTTGACATCGAACCCGCATGTACTTCAGTACGGCGCGAAATGACCTCAGTAGCCGAGGCACTGTTAAAAAATACAAATTATCATCCTGCACGATGGACCTGGTGTTCTCATAGCTTGCGATTATTCTCGCAAACGTCCATTTGACATCTGACCGTGATTCCCATTGCCACGGCCTTCCGAACAGGGCATCCATAGAAATTCCTCGCCAGGAACAGCTTGCCCTCAAAGGACTTTTGCTTGTACTTAATAAAAGCTGCCTCTGACGAGGTATCTGTCTCGGTCCGAATGAGCTCAGAATGAAATCAGCCAGGTGGGAGTTTTAGTGCGGCCGCCATCCGGCTCCCTGAGGGGCTGGTTGCATAAACGCTAGATAAACATTCCCACGAACTTAGCATAAAACGAACAACACCTCTGCGGCGACGTAAGGACGCAGAAAGCAGAACGTCGTACTTCAACATTGGAAAGCCCTCTCGGCTTCAGCGGTGATCGTTGTGGACGCCGGTGAAGACGAGGGTCATGATGTTCATTTCGCTGGGTGAACGGTCACATGGTGGAGGTGCGCAGCCTGAAAACATCGAG